GTTGTAATCTCGTAAACGTGTGCTCAGAATAAGCTTTTTCTAACACCCCAAAAACAAAGCAGTCAGGAAAATATCACAAGGCTCCAGCTCGGACACCTTTTATGCAGTGTAGTTCTCAAAAGTAGTAGGCTTAAATGTTTTTTGGCACTCACTAATCTGAGTGCTCTGACTAAGCAAGCCCCGCAGAGTGTGTTGGTCAGTATCGATCAGAATGAGCAACGCAGCACAGCCAGGTACAAATCCTATTCCTCCACTTGGCTTTGTGCTTTATCAGACTCCATTTCTTTTTTTTTTCTTTTTTTTTGCCCTCTTTATTTTGCCGAGCTTTCATTTTCCTCTGCTGACTAGCCCCGAGAAATGATTCATTATGACACCTCTCACAAACCGACTTTTCTCTAACTCTCTCTCTCTATTTTCTCTGACTTTCTCCCCCCCCCCCCCCCCCCGTGTAGGGCCTCTGTACTGTGACCGCTGCCTTCCTGCATTTCTTCTTCTTGGCGTCTTTCTGCTGGGTGCTGACAGAGGCGTGGCAGTCCTACCTGGCTGTCATCGGCAAAATGAGGTCACGACTCATCCGAAAGCGTTTTCTGTGCCTCGGCTGGGGTGAGCACATGCATTATCCCGCTTTAGCGCACACTCATGACTGCTGTGTAAAATCCGGCACCTGCAGCAAGACTTTGCTCTCTGAATTCAGATGTTGGCAGATCCTTCTATCTTTGGAAGATTTTTTTTGGAGTTGAGTCAAATTTCAGCCTTTCTTTCACAACAAAAACTAGATTTATTTAGCTTTTGCCTCATTTCTTCTTTTCAATATTACTTTGAGACGTTTAGTCCATGAAATTACTTCACCTTTAATGCCAGCTAGCTAGCAATGTCAGCTAACATTGCTATTGAATGTAATCTCTGCTGTACATCACCTCCATTGCGCTGTCCTCTCACTGAACTACAGCCTGATGCAACAGACACCAGGGATGTTAGAGGATAATCAGAACATATGATAACATCGGTATAGTACTGGGAAGATGTTTTGAGATAGCCATAGTAATGAAAGCGCACACACACACACACACACACACACACACACATTTCACGTCATATCGATCCCAGCACTCTAATCTGCCAAGTCACTGATGCCCTTACCTGATACAGAGGAGGGAGAATGCATAGATTGTTGTACAGTCACAGACAGAGAGAGAGAGAGATATCGACACAGTGTGTGTGTGTGTCTGTGTGTGTGTGTGTGTGTGTGTGTGTGCGTCTGAAAGGTATGTGTGTGTGTGTTTGGTATGCAGTGGAAGATATACGATTATGCTTCCAAATACACATAAAATGCATGAAACATCGAGCCGAGCGGCGGAGATCAAACAGCTTATCCTCTGCACGTCCATTCTGCAATTTTCTCCCCCAAATGATGTGATTTAAATCAGTTGCCATGGAAACAGAAGACTTGGGGTGTGACTGGATCTGTGTAAGATTGGCAGCTGTGCGTGTGTGCGTCATGTAAAGGTGCGTGTGTGTGTGTGTGTGTGTGTGTGTGTGTGTGTGTGTGCCATGTTTTATATATTGGAAAAGAAATGCTTGATTGATGTTGTTGCTATCTTAATGAAACTTTGCCGGTTCGCGGACCAGTCCGGCTCGCCCCACCATCTTATTTGTTAATGTTAATGTGACTTTTTCTAATTGCTTTTCATTTGCAGCCATAATCACTGCTTTGTTAATTACATGAATATTTCAGCGCCAAGCTCATTACGGGGGCCGAGCATATTTCCTGCTTTTTCTGGCACGCGCTCTGTGACACTTAGTCTCACTCTCTTTTCCTACTCATGCACACACATACATGCATGAAACACACACACACAGACACACACACACACATCTCTTGATTGAGCTAATTAATGCATGACTAATTGACCACTTTACAAGCTACAATTCATATTTTTAGGAGCTCTCTTCCACTCATCGGGTCACACACATGGCTAAAAAAAAAAAAAAAAAAGGTCAACAACACACAAAGTCTTACAAATCAAGGCTTCTGTGCATGCCTGCTGGATCACAGCCCAGTTTCACGCCTGTAGCTAGACCTTTGTGTTGGCGTGCACATGCAGAGAAATAGGCTCATCAATAGGGCGCCCAGTCAGTTTGAATCACACCCCGCTACGTTCTATCGCACGGCTGCTTAGCATTTGAATAAGAAGAGCTGTGTGGAGTGGTTCACGCCGGGAGGACCTTATTTGGATGTCATGCTTTGTCGCCCCCCTTTAAGACTGTCTTTCCTCCTTTGAATAATCCTTGTGGTCTTCTTCTCCATCTCTGTGTGTGTGTGTGTGTGTGTGCAGGTCTTCCAGCTCTAGTTGTAGCAGTGTCAGTGGGTTTCACCAGAGCGAGAGGTTACGGCACAGACAGCAAGTAAGTACCACTTCATACGGTAGCACTCTTCATTTAGCTTCAAACCGGTCAGGACTCCCTTTTGATTTCATCTCTCAATCATGTTTAGTTTTCTTGATTTAAAAATGGGATTTGTGTATTGTCGAAGGCACAGCACACCTTCTGTAATATTATAATCGAATGCAGTGGTTCACAACTGGTCTAGCCTAAGGACGCACCACCAACTCCTTCATGAAAATCAAGACCCAAATTTGTGATATTTTTTTCAACCAATCAGATTTATCGAATGCAAAATAGTGCAGTTTGGACCCCAGATGGTACGAAAACATGCGGTGGAACAAAGACAACATGTTTTAAGAGTGCTTCGCATACTTTTTGACACTTTCTTTTTCCAGTCACATGTTCGCGACACACAGGTGAGGGAGGGACTCTACCTGGAGACAGGGGTGAGGGAGGGGCTCTACTTGGAGACAGTTCATTTGTGTTTGCTTACTGTTTATTAAACCTACTAGACGTGGTCAATGATTCCCCAAAAGCTCAGCTGAATATAAACATTGCATTATGTGCATTGATGACCACCTCCAGCATGCTCATAGAAAAGACATTATTGCCAAGTTTAATATGGATATTCAATCACTGCTCGTACATTGAAGCAATAAGGTTCGTCAGCAGTGACTACATGTACCATGATGCATTGTGCACAAGCAGGTCAGACCTCATGTTGCATGCTTTTCCTGAGCTGTAGACTCGGCTACAGTAAAAGAAATAAAGCCGCGTATCAAGTCAGCCAAAATACAACTTCGTCCAATGTGCCCTGTCTACTCAGTTTTTGTAAGTTGATGCATTTCTGTGTCACATAACAGCTCTGAAAGCGCCCAGGATGACGGATTTCCAACTTTCCAAAGCCGTTCTCAAGTGATGCAAGAGCCATCATCTACAACTGCAGATTTTTTTTTCACACTATAAAAACAACTTTGACAGAAATCAGTTTTTTTAAACCTCTTTTACAAGTCATTGCCAAGACAGCCGCATAAAACGTTCACTTAAAAGAACAAGTAAAGTAAAAACAAAAAGCAGGTGAATTATCAAAACAGCACAAACAAATCTGATTGAAAATAAGACAATGTTGTCAATGACACCCTCAAGAGTGCTTCTCTTTCTATGAACGATCAAATTAAGGCCTGATAAAAGTAAATGGGGAAACCTGACATAACCTCCAGTCTTAATCAAAAACTGTTTGTGATATAAAGCATTGTTAACGTGTTTTTCTGTACTTATCATAACAGTTTAAATCTCAGCTAATCTAACACCCCTGAACAGTTTGTGCTAAAGCTGGAAAGATACTGTAAATAAGAACCCGTTTACTGTCGACAGGTTTCTGTTTAAATGGTGCTTTACTGTGATTACACCAACTAAGCCACTTCAAACTGCAGACTTTAATACAGTGAGTACAGCAGGGACCAAAGCACAAGTGCAGAAATCTCTCATTTGAAATAACTGTTCAGACTAATTTTCCTTTTCCATAGGTTGCAGGCTTTTTTCAGGACTTTTCAGCTAACATGAATCTCATAAGGCGTTGTCTTACCGCAGGAGCTTCTTCATAGTTCTAGGAACTGTTGGAACGCTCCTTCTTTTTGATTCATTCCGCACCACGGGAACCAAGAACAATTGTAGTTCCTAGAAGAGGAATTGTTCAGAGGAACCTTGTTTTAGCTCCTGCTTCAGAGTGGGGTGCGAATGTAGACAGAAAAAAAAAAAGTTCTCTAGTGGACAGTTCCCTCTTCAAAAAGTCCCCAGCTCTTGGTCAGAAAACACTGATTCATTCATTAATTCAGAAGCTCTGAGAGGTTATTTGAAAGCACATTCTTGAATATATAGAAATGATGTACAGCAACATGTAGGTGTGGTGCATTTTTAAGATTTCTGTTGAGTAAAAAAATCTTTTTCAAGTAAAAACCACTTAATTATTTCTGTTAATTTAGGAGCTGAACATTTAAAGACACAGAATACAGTCACTGTTGGGCTCTGGTACCCAGTAAATAGTGTTTTTCCCTCGCACTGTAGTTAACATCCCATTAATACAAGGGCTGTATATTAGCTTTCGGGGTGTGTGTGTGTGTGTTTTTTCTACATCTTCCCTTTTATTGAGCTGCAATTAAGACAACAGAGGGGATTCGGTATGATGACATCACTGGAGGACACGTTTAAACTCATTAACTCTCAATAGCTTCCGCAGAATGAACATTTCACCAGACCATTTTGAGTTTTAGGGCACGTTTTTAGGTGAATGTAGGCTACATAATAAATGTGCTCAAGCACTGAGGGCGATATTTTTGCAGAAACAGACACTTAACCAGCCAAAGAAATGACTGCTTCATCTCTCTTCAAGTACATGTGATCCCTGTAATTGGTCGAGTATTTGTTGTACTTGGCACATGCAGAAAGCAAAATGTAAGACCTGAGCGTGTGAAAGTGTTTTTTTTTTTTTTTTTTGTAACAGCAGTAATTATGTAATTATTGCCGGTTCAAGTCCCGGTGCGGACCAAATACGGAAGTTGGTCTGGTAGCTGGAGAGGTGCCAGATCCCCTCCCGAGCACTGCCGAAGTGCCCTTGAGCAAGGCACCAAACCCCCTCCCCACCACCAGCTCAGGAGCGCCTGCTGTGGGCCGCTCCGTCACTCTGGCTTCTCTCCATTAGTGCATGTCCATAGGATCCTGTTTCTGCATGTGTGTGTATATTTCAGCCTGTGTGTGTTCATGACTTAGAGTGTAAAAACTGAAATTTCAATAAAAAGTAAATCTTAATCTTAATCTTTGTGATTCAAACACTTCCCTGTTCTTGCTCTAGTTGCTGGTTAGCCTTGGATGGCGGGTTGCTTTATGCCTTCGTTGGACCTGCTGCTGTCATCGTATTGGTAAGTTGGTTCAACACACTCTCTCTGGACAGAATACCCTCCAACCCCACTTCCCTCCCTCCCTCCCTTCCTTCCTTCCTCCCTCCCTCCCTCACTCGTCACATTTCATAATTCTGCAAAAAAAAAAAAAAGAAAAAAAAAGAAATTACAAGTTAGCCTTCAAACCAAGAGCTTTAAAGCATCTGCAGCTGCACTCTGAGGATTTTCCCTTTTTCCCTCCACCCAAGGGTGTCCAACGACAAAATGATGACATGAGCACTTTGATCGCTGAGTTTAAAATGTCAGGCCAGAAAGACTTCAAAATACATTCCATTAGACAGGAGCTCCCCGGCAATGCAACACATGCCAGGACTGAGTTTCAGCCTAGCAGTCAAATACTGTACCTCACTCTTATATGGACTCACATAACAGGAGTCAGTATGCCCGGTTAATTAAAGGGTGAAATAAGAACAGATACATACATTTTACATGAAATCTGTGTAAATGTATGTAATGTCATAAATAACATTCTGCACCATCGTCATAACAAAGTGTTGTTGGTTTGCCTTTGTACATTTCTATAAAACACATTCTTCTCATATCCACAAGTAAATGTACGTTTTTTTATTGTTCAGCAAATTTGGCTACATTGATTGCATCTCAGTGGTGTTTTAATCATCTGTTGCTGTGTGTGGCAGTTTGCAGGATTAGCTCATTTCTCCTAAATGAATTCCCAGGTGGATACTTCCACTGCTAAGCCTAATACGTCTGGATGTGGTCCTAAACTTTCATTTGATAATTGCTGCCACTGCTGCTGCTTCTGTTGTTGTTGTTGTTGCTGTAGTTGTAGTAGGTGTTTCTTTTCGAGTTGTTTTTCCACACTTATTTTATGGTACATGACAGGAGAGAAACGGGGACTGCTTTGCAGGTGTGAAAAGGGAAATTACTGATTTTTGAAGTGAGAGATGTGTTGTTTGTTTGACAGTTCTTTCACTTAGTGACTCAAGGTAGCAGGTATTATTTAGCGCTGAATATTCAGGATTATTTTGATGCTGTGGCTACGAATCCTACTACTATTTACAGAGGCAGAAAAGAGTCAGGTTGGTGCCCTACTGTAGCTTGCTAAATCTAATGTACACACATTTGCATAACTCAATTTCATATAACCAGTTGAAAACCCAAATCCGCAATTGTCTTCCAACCTTATGTATTATGTATTTGGGGCGGCAGTAGCTCAGTCTGTAGGGACTGGGGTTGGGAATCAGAAGGGCCCAGGTTCAAGTCCCGGCACAGACCAAATCTGGAAATTGGCCTGGTAGCTGTAGAGGTCTTGAGCACTGCCGAGGTGCCCTTGAGGAAGGCACCAAATCCCAAAACTGCTCTGAAGTGCTTGCTGTGGGCAGCCCCCCTCACTCCAAGACCTCTCCATTAATGCATGTCCATAGGATCCTGTTTGTGCATGTGTGTGTATTTCAGCCTATATTTATCTAGACAGAGTGTAAAACTGAATTTCCCCTCGTGGGATTTGTAAGGATAAAGGACAAATCACAAGTATAACTATTATTATTATTATTTTATTATAATGGTAAATTGATTTGAGCTTTTTAAACGCTTTTCAAGTCTTCTGACTAAACAAAAAGCTTTTACAACGCATGTCAGACCTACCCAGTCACACACTGATAGCAGAGTCTGCTATGTAAAGTGGCCATCAGAAGTAACTAATCCAAATTCATACGCTACTGACTAAGCAGCAGGGGCTAATTGGGGTTAATTGTTTTGCCCAAGGTCACATCAGACATGTGGCTGCAGGAGAAAGGGTTCGAACCCCCCGACCTTATAGTTGAAAGACAACTGACTCTACCAACTGATCTGCTCTGCCCCATCATAAGAATCTTAAAAGGGTTAGAAATGAATCAATCAAAATTCTAAATAATGTCCTTTTTGGTTCAGTTCTGTGGTAATGCTATGATCAAATTGTGACATATTATGTGCTCCATTCACTGAAAAAGTGGCAATTTACTATCAATTTACTATCTACTTTCTCCCATTAAATGCCAACCGCAGTTTTCAGCCCTGGCAGTTTGGTCGGAGCAGTTGATGTTGTACTTTTGTTGAGTATCTGCAGGCCCGTTTGGCTTCTTTATAATGAAGCACATGCTAATCACTTAGCATTGCAAAAATAACTTTGAGAACTAAAATGGGCATCTCAGCTGAGCTTGATTTGTATTTGACCATTCAGTGACCAATAAAAAATATTCATGCGGCAGGTATTCTGCTGCCTTCTTTGACTCTTACACAGATGACAGATGGGCCAGGCAGATGTCAATCAAAACATGATCTGCCATGACAACGCAGTTATGGGAACTGAAGAAACAAGCTGAATGATGAATGCATGATACCTTGGCCTTGCATAAGTCTTTAATATTCCAGGCACAATTTCCAGCAGCTTTAAAAAAAAAGTTGTTACACTTTTAATCTCTATATATGAGTCCAAAGGTCAAAGCCATTATAAATCAGAGGGCATGTTGTTTCTCTTTGTTTGTCATTGACTCGTCTTTCTTGGAACATTTCCTACTTTACATCATCGCTTCCTCCACAATGTACGATCCACACCCCAGATGCTGTAATGGTCCCCGGCCCCCCGGTGTTGTTGCTGGGGCCCCGACTCTGACAAACAGCTGTAATGAGTGTGGGACGCTGGGCAGAGAAAGGCAGACCTTCCCACAGGAATCTTCTCTAATTAATGAACCTGGCCTTGGGCAAATAGCAGAGCAGGATGATGCTGACTAACAGAGCTGGGGCCAGAAATGACTGGCATGACAATAAGTCTCTCACAATCCGGCACATCGGAAAGTAGTTTTTTTGGGTTTTTTTTCCCAGCAGCGGCGCACACATAAGAGGGAAGGAGATCAGAGGGAAGGAGTTTTTTCTCGAGCAATTTGCAAAAGCTGCCAGATGTACTCTAGATGTTGCAAAGAAAGAGGCTTCAAGCAAAAATCTGCCTTCAGCAAAACAGGGAGTTTGACTGACCGCATGAAAGCCAGACTTTAAATGCTCTTTCCTATAGGATTTCTAGCAAGCGTGTATGGAATCCATAAAACAATCACCAGCATAGCCAGATACTGCTCTTGGTGACAGATGAAGGAAAGAATCGAGGCAGACATTCACTTTAGGACCTTGTTAGAGTAGACATGCATTGAATACACAGTATATGTATGAATGAATGTCATTTTTATCTTCAATTCACCTCACTGCTGACATCTGCAGATGAATAACCAAACAGAGGCTCCACAGAGGAACCCATACAGGGCGAAAGACAGAGTATGAGTGAATGTTGGAAGGATTAGAAGGAACATGTCGCCAGCATGGAAAATCTCCAAATCGGGCAGGATTTCAAGGCAGAGGTCTGCATGTGGCAAACCTTGGCGCAGATCTGTGTGCACGTCAGTGTATCTAATAGAATCTTGATCAGTGGGTCACTATGGCCAGATGTTTGGCAGGCTTAGCCGTGGACTCCTCATTAGTTAGGGAAGCCGGGATGAGACACAAATATTTTAACCCCATTTTTCTTAAGTAAGCCAAACATTTGTGATAAAAGCTCCTGCTGTTTGACGGAGCGCTACTGAAAGGAGTAATCCCATAAAACAGAAACAAACATGAACATAAATCTTAGCTGAAGAAAGAATACAAAACACCCCATTAGAAGAGGGTTGTTGTAGTGAAAGTGAAACACTGGAATGGGCGTAAACAGGGTCATGAACCTATTAGATCATAATGTGAAAAAAATGTTCCGGCAGGGATATGATTGGACATGAACTTCTATGAAGCTGAATGAGCCTTTGATTGTTAAGTATAATTGAACACGCTAATGTGATTTCTCATGATCCCCTTTTACACTGTTACCTCTTGCCATCAATGTCGATATCACAGAGGCGTAAGGGTTGGGCGTAACATCAGAGCTGGCTGAACCAAAAAGCACTGTGTGTGTATGTAAAGCTTCCACTGTTTCTTTACACTGAGTTCAATGTCATAGTACAAAAGGTGTCTTAACGACGGAGCTTTGTTACGGCGCTGTGGCCAGGGCGTGTCCAGACTTTCTGGACGAGGTTGGCTCAACTGGGGCACTGACCTGTAAGGGTGGCCTGAGTTTTGTGTGCACACACATGAATAAAGAACATTTACTTACCCCTTCTTTCGGCACAAATCACATCGACTTTTAAGTAACATTAGATGATGGCAGCATATACATCTTGTGAGCTTAATTCTTCAAGAACTAAAAAAAAAAAGTACGACCAAGATCAACATTTTAAGTATTTAAAATAATCTGCACACTGAAAACAATGAGCTGCCTGTTGAAACACAGCCTGCATGGTGGATTTGCCAGAGTCGGAAGTCCTACCTCTGGCAAGGCAAATGACCAATCGCAGTGAATAAATTTGGGGTGGCACCTGGGGTGGCCAGTAAGATTACAAGGGGGGGTCCATGCCACCCTTGGCCAAGCCTCTGGAAATGCCCCTGGCTGTGATGGAATCTCATTGTAAAAAGGGCTAATATAAGCACATATATTGTGCTCACACAGAACTAACCCAATGCTTTACAGTGCTCTGTGAAAAAGTTTGCAATTAAAGAAGAGATTTTTCCAAAAAGTAGAGGTCAGTGGTTTTCCACTGATTGATGCTTGGTGTCGCCAATACGCAAAGAAACCAAAACACTGGCAAACGCAAGAGGAGAAGACTATTAGCTCATGCAATGTAAGGATACATTCAGAAGTTTAACACAACTTTTGTTTGTTGACAAGTACATTTTAGAGACGTTCAAAGTTGGGCCAATTTTATCATTACACACTTAATGGATTATTGCCCACAATGGTGTTATCTGTTGTGCCACTGGTGGCAACAAGCTATGCTGCTTTAACATTAGCATTGTTGAATCTATGGAGGAAAATAGTCATAGATCATAAGACTATCATAGGAGTGACTGACAAAATGTGGTGTTGCAAGTTATAATATAAAGGAATGATGTTATGTTTTAACAATGTTTAGATTTGAGGTCATTTATTGAGAAATATTCTAACCGTACCTCTGATGTCGAAGCACACAGCGCCCGATTAGCATCACAAAGTCAGACAGGTTGAATTGCAGTTGTTAAAATGGTTTTTAAACTATATGTAACAGATGTTTGAAAAAAAAAGCTTGTGTTGCACAGGAGGGAGTCAGCCCGAGATCTCTGACAGCTCAAACACTGTCGCTTCACTTTCAGTCTGGAGTCTGTGAGACAATTAAAAAGTCATCTTCCATCTCCTGAAACGTATTGAAAATCTGTTAAAGAGCGTATGAAAGTAATCCCTGTTGGCAATCCTCAAACCCTTACAGTAATCCTGATCAAACTCTCCTCTCTTTTTTCAATGCAGGTGAATATGCTCATTGGAATCGTGGTGTTTAACAAGCTCATGTCTCGAGACGGCATCTCAGACAAGTCTAAAAAGCAGCGAGCGGGGTAAGTTCACTTCCTAAACTCTCAGCACCACACACACACACACACACACACACACACACACACACACACACTACATCAACACAACTTCATCAATCTACTTAATCTTTGGTGGGAAATGACTACAAATTTGCTGCATTAGATACATTTCACCGTCTGTCAGGCACAATCTCAGGGAGACGACAATTTCATGGCAGCTAACTCAAACTGTTTTCTAGCGTCTCTACACACACACACACACACACACACACACACACACACACACACACACACACACACACACACACACACACACACACACACACACACACACACACACACACACACACACACACACACACACACACACACACACACACACACCTTTGTGTACACCTGCGCCCCAATCAACAAAAAACAACCCCCATTTTGGCGACAAAATGACAAGACATGTGTTGTTTTGTGATGCTCGGTGAATTCTATTAGAAATTGCCAACCAATTCCACATATATACGTTCTTGCTGTGATGTAGATGAATAGCTCAGATTTGAAAATCAATGGCAGATGGAAAGCTCATTATGTATTATAAACACCAGGATTAGATGGATAAAACCAAACGCACTATTGAAATCCGATACCATTTCTCTCTGTTATTCTTCCAGACAATCATGCACACACATGCTGTATATATGCACACATATCAGACGTGCATGCATATGAATCCACCTTCAACATTACTTCTACTTCACGTCAAGTCGTTCATCATCTTCGCTAATCCCAAGAACGGAGTTTCCTCCAGCTCTTGCAGGAAAATCCATGCTTTCATTTCCATACCAATTGATTTCATTGTTTTCTCGTTTTCGTTCTCTTTTTTGGCTCTCTCTCTCTCTCTCTCTCTCTCTCTCTGTCATTACATTTTCTTCCAATGATTCTGATTCTTGTGCAAATTGAAATTGATAATTTGTGTTTGGCTGAAAGGGTTAACAGCTCAGACTGCCTCTCTGGGGGGTTGATTAGCTTTTGTTTCCTGGTGACTCAGCCGAGATTAAAGCTTTCGATGTGTACAAACACGCCCACATACACACACACACACACACACAAACAAACAGATGTACCTATCTTTGTTCCAGGAAAAAGTCATCAGTGTTATCCAATTATTAAGCACTTTTCATCTCAGATTCGTAGAAGTGTGTGTTCCGTGTACGCGCAAACATCTTGACGTGCTCGTAGGCGCCGTAATAGTCGGCGGCGTTTGCTAACAGGACGGGCTGTCATTAGTGTAATGTATTTTCATATGAAGCCGCGGGGATGTGGCTGGCTCTAAGGCAATGAGCTGTGATGGGGCGCTAATGTACCATAGCGTGCATAGCCCTATCATTCTGCATCACTATATACAGTACACACACACACACACCTTTTTTTTTGTTTTTTTTATCTATTTGAGAAGTCAGCTGTAAGCACACAACCAGAGGAGTCTTTCCCCTTCCTGTTGCACCCCTCTCACGCTTCATCGTGCAAAGCCACACACACTGTACACAACAATAACGCACACACTTGGTGGCTGTATTTCTTGTATGTGTCACTGTAATCTGTTAATCCACACGACTCTGTTGTAACATCGCAAATGTCCGTCTCACTTTCTACTTGCTCTGGATCTATCTGACTGTTTATTCATTACTGCTACTTTTTTCAGATCTGGTTTTAATTTGCCTTTCTTTCTTTTCTCCCTCCCCCACTTCCCCCCCTTTATTTCTTTTACCCTCCCTTTGTTTGTTGTCTCCACTTTTTTTTGTTTTTCTTTTCCGCAAATGTGACATCTTCACTTTCACCTGTTACCATACCTGGAACCTGTCTCTCCTCCTCATCCCCACTCCCCCTTCCTCCTCCTCCCCCCCCCCACCCCCATGGTTTTGTGAATTGTGTTTGTTTGTGTGTCTTTGTGTGTGTGTGTGTGTGTTTGCACGTCCTAAAGTGTCCCGGCGGAGGCGCGTAGCCGACTGCTCCTGAAATGCTCCAAGTGTGGCGTGATCTCGAGCACCGCTATGTCCAGCTCTACTGCCAGCAGCGCCATGTTAGTCCATCTTCATCATTTTCTCTCTCTCTCTGTCTCTCTCTCTCTCTCTCTTGCTCTCTCCTACCTTCCATCATCTTCTGTCTCTCTCTCTCCTCCATCCTTTTAATCTCTGGCTGTTGGTAATGATGCAGGATGACATTCAGACTTGTCTGGTTACAAAAACAAACTAATGAAAGGAAAAATCACCTGCACTGCAAGCCGCCACTGTTTAATGAGAGCATGTTTTGATCTAAAGCGAATTTTTCCTCGACTCGTACTGTGCGAAAAAACCTGACCCGTGTCAAACACTATTTATGAATCACTTTTAGAGTTTGCTTTAACTTGTTTGTAGTGCGCTATTGTGGAGGCTTTAACACATCAGGGCAGCACAATGTCACTAATACTGTGTTGTAATTGTCTAAACCTGGCTCATTATATTATGGCATGTGGTGAATGCGCCCAACTTTGAACTCTGAGTAACAGGTAGCACATCAGATTTCCAACCTGCCAAAGCTTCTCAGACGTCTTGCATACCTATATCAGTGCAGCATACTTGCTGGGGATGCAGATACGTCTCTGTGATCTCTGTGAAATCAGTGAAATGTTTTTTTGTTTTTGGCTCTGGAGGGAGCTTTGTCAAGTCTAAGAAATGATGCCAATGACATCCAAACTCTACTAGAGCTTTGAGAATACAAGACTCTGAGTTTCAGTTTTAGAAAACATGACTCAACACAGTCATTTTTGGAACTTTTAGTCCCATATTAAGGAGAAACAGTTCGAATAAAGTTAGCTTCATTCTTGCATTTACTTGTACCGCTCTCCTTCCTGCTCCTGCTTCAAGAAAAAAGAATCTTCAAACTTCATGAAAGTGCAGTATATAAATGACTTCAACTTGCGCTTCATTTCTTCAGCATATGACCCTAAGTAATCCTAAAAACCAATGCTGACATGTCACACAATTACATCCCAACACCTTTTTTTTCCAGTGTTTAATCTAAAGGTGTCTCTCAATCTCCCAACCAGCTTTTTTTGTGTGGTTGCCTCTAAGAAGGTGTAAAAAAATAAAAAAATAATAACAAAAAACTGTTCTCTTACTCATAGTAGGAGTGTGGTTGTCATGGTTTCATGTTCAGTGCTGCCAAGTCTATTAATGAAATACCCTCCTCCTGTTTAACTGCTGCAAAACACTCCCGTTCCTTTTTAACTATGTCCTTGGACAAATCACTCATTACGGCTTTGTGTTTGTTTTGGAAGAGTGCTCCATTTAAAGCAGCACCTCTGTTCTTAGCTCCTTTTGTTGGATCGTTGGACACTGTGATTGGAAGGTAATGGGATGAGATTGCCTATTTGCAGTAACAGCTTTGTATCAGGCTTCCCCTTCCCCCTCACCGTAGTTGTCGCCGAGAACAAGCGGAGCCATTGTTGACTTTTTTCCAAAAGCCCTTAGCTGATCTCTGATGTAGGAATATCTTCGCTGAAGCTGTAAAAAAAAAAAGATGTTCATGTTTGCCCCCATCTTTGTAGTTCTTCTTGAATTGTCCACAGCACAAGCTTCAAAACACAAGGTGTCACTCCTTCATTATCTGTAGCACCGTAAGATGCTTAGTCCTTTCTGCTGACGAAGCGATAACAGGGAACCAAATTACTTTTTTACACTTTGACGCTTAAGGACCCTGTTGAAAAGTTGTTTCCATGACTTGTTCTACAAACTGGACAAAGTGAACAAAATAACCATTGCATTAAACCCTTGGAATGATAATAGTCAGGTTACAGTCAAAACCCTTGGGAATGACCAGAAGAACTAAGTTACAGCTTATTAAGAAAAAACAGCTTAACATGTAGAAAACACAACATACTAACCCTAATTATTTCTTCAGAAGTTAAAAATGGTATTATGCACCCTCAAGGTGTTGGTTATCATGAGTTTATTGGGTGATGTGGAAGCTAGAAAATTCCTGCTACACAGAGTGGATAAGCTACACTGAACCACAGCCTATTGTGTATTTCAAACCACCATCTCCAGCAGCGCTGACTTTTACACATTAACGACAGGACGGCACAGCTTCGGCTTTCTTTCCCTTTATTCTCTCATTATTTTTTACTTTGGCCACACACCTCGAAAAGGGCGCAAATATTCCTCAGTGTAGTTACACAGAGCTGCCTGTCTGTCAGACTGACAGCTATAAAACCATGAATGTGTGCTCAAACCGCATGAACAATTTAAATTGGGGTCTGACTCGACCGATTACATGCACACACACAGAATCCCACACACTTACTCCTCAGGAACCCCCATGTCAGTGCTTGTCAATGGACTGTCTCAACTCACCCCCCACCCCCCCCCATTTGCCCCGCTGCCTGGTGTCTCGTAGTCCACCAGCATGACACTTAGAGTGCATCAACCATGTAATTGTGAGCAATTGTCAGTCTCATAACTATCTACATGATTACACATCATCTTCCACCTCTCAGTTAGAATACTAAGTCTGATACAAACCTCCGTGTGCCAATCAGCTGCAAATTGCCCACCACTGAACCTATGACTGATCCGTGTGTGTGTGTGTTTGTGTGTGAGGGAGTTTTAAGTGGAGTTATGTGACTTAACAGAGCTGACTGGTGGTGTTTTAGACTGAACCCTTTGTTCCCTCTCCTTCCTTCCTTCCTCCCCTCTTCCCCCTCCTCCTCCTCCTCCTCCTCTGCCTGTCTGTCTCTTTCTCTGACAGGGCATCTCTGTGGAGCTCCTGCGTCGTTCTTCCTCTGTTAGCATTAACCTGGATGTCAGCCGTGCTGGCCATAACCGACCGCCGCTCCACACTTTACCAGGTGATGTTTCTCACAATACGATCAGATGTTAACGTAGCGTGACTCGCGCACATTTCAACTTGTGACGCTGCCATGGAGAATGTGCTTTCAAAACAGAGGGGTGTGGCTTCAAAAAGTGGATGTTGCATGGAGAGACTTCTGTCACAAGAAGACATGGTCAGGGTGCTGAAGCAAGGAACGTGAAATCTATATCGATACAGTTTTGTCTTTTTTGGGAGAGTTGATAGTTATACATATACTCTGGCTAATATGACAACACTTCCTAAACACTAAACACCTGCCACTCTTTAGTTTAAGGGGCCTTCGGCATGACATTTTATGACTTTAAACCGTTAAAATAATGATGGTAATAATGAAAGTAATACTATTCCTATCGAGACTTTCAAGCAAGAAATGATGCTCAACGTTTTAAAAAAGAGGAAAATAAATGCAAATGATTGAAGACAAAATTAACATCAAAAGATGGAAATTAAACTTGATAAATTTTTTAACTAATGTCCAAATGTAGATGATGAAGTAATTCATTAAACTGGATGAAACATGTACGTAAACCTGTGAGTGAAAAACACCATCAAAGGAAATGAAGTAAAGACGTTAAATAAATCCAAACAAATGATGAAAGCTTAGATCATGCTGCATGCATTGCGTTAAATAAAGGTTGTGAAATGCAATCTTTGTTGGAGAAAATAATAAGTCAGCAGGATAGCAACGTCAAAGGTCACATATGCAAAATACACTTAACACTGGTGTCTAATACGTGGTGTGTCCCTAGAATGGTTGATACTTCACAACATTAGAATAAAGAATTCACATTCGTGAAGCACGTATCAAAGACCAACAGAGGGTTTCATTTCATTGCTAAAAAAAAGTCTACAAACTGTCATGATTTAATTTGAACAAACATGACTAATTTAGTCGCATGTCAGTCCCTCTGTAATGATTACTTAGTTATACGTCACAGAATAACAGGTATAATCAGTGCCTTACAGACACTTCAAGCCTGTCACAAGAATTGTTTTCTAATTTTTACCCAACCATGAAATATGAAAGAAATGTGCTCAAATATGTCAAGACAGAGAAAAGACGGGACACAAAAATCACCACATCCAAGATACTAAATTCTTAAATGTGTAGTTTAACCACAGCCACGACTGGCTTGACATCTTACAATTGCTGGTTGTCAGTGTAATACATGTTTTCCTTTTGGCTCAGGAGTCGCGCAGATGTACAGAAGTCACAAAAAAAAAAAAAAAAGGGATCGTCACAGCAGTGATGGAAGGATTTGTCACTGTAAACAGTGTTTCAAGAGATGCTGATACATCTCAGCCCGCGACACAGTTTGAGACAACAGAACCTTCCGGCCAAAAAAAACCCCAAAACAAACCTAAATCAGGTTTACAATGTAGGCAGCTGTGTGCTTATAGCTTTTGTTGGAGAGGAGACGTTCGATGTAGTCTAAAATGCAGGGAATATACAGATCTTTAAAGGAAGTGCAAAGAATTTACACGCAAATGTTTTACTGTCTCCTCCAGGTCCTCTTTGCCGTCTTTGACTCGGTCCAAGGTTTCGTCATCATCACCGTCCACTGTGCAATGCGCAGAGAGGTGAGTGTTCCCAGACATGTGTTGAGCTCTTACATTTCTAATTCGGCACCACGCGGTGACCTCGGCGACACTGACTCCCTGTGACAGGTGGGATTCATGTCGGCAAATGTCAGGTTAGTTGCCGGGTCAGCGTGGAGACAGGGCACGGCACAAGCGGATCAGACACGAGAAGGATTAGCATGGTATTTATGTCCAGCGCTGCTTCTTCTTCTTCTTCTTTTTTTTCCCCTTCATAATGCAGTTTGATAGTGGAGTATTGTCCGTCTGATCCGAGGCTGCTTTAAGGAGCTTATGAAGATGCTGTATGGAATAAGACGATAAGTCCTTAACTAATACCTCCTAGTGCCTATTTGGCCACAGGCTTTGCTTTGCTGTGCCCCCCCCCCCTCTGGGATGCTGAATTTTATACTCATTGTGCACACACATGTAGTTCTGCCCTTGAGACAGACATTTGCACACACTTAGTTAGCTATGGCCTGACTCACTAACACACCAGCGACAATTAATGGAGATCATTTGTTTCTCTTAACTGTAAATAAGCCATCTGTTGCTGGTGCATGCACACAGCACACAGCCTTGCCTTTATACAAGAGATCATTGAGATATTGAATGCGCTGCATAGTTTATGTGGATTTCGAAATGCTTGGAACACTCAGCTGTATTACATCAGTATCACAAAAGCAGCATGGATTAAAGGTACAGTAAATCCAAGAATGATTTATGTTAAATGTATGAAAATCTCCTGAAATATATAGAGAGCGAGTAAATGCTGCTGCAGAACAATAGCAGAAGGGAGGGCCACACAGGAGGGGGAGCACTGAGGGGGGGGGGGGGATATGATGAAGCATTATGGTGCAAAAACAAAAGAATAGTGTGATATTGTGTGATGCAAAATACAGACACAGAACATGCCAGGGAAGCGCAGCAGCGTGTCGCCCTCCTAGATTGCGCTCGCTGCTTTGAAAGGTAGCGGCTGAGAATGAAAGCACAGCCGGCCTGCTGAGATCAGTCGAGGAAAAAAAGGGGGCGAGGCAAAATGAACATGTGCGACGTAAAAGGCGTTGTGATTAGCAAGGCAGCAGGAGAGGTAAAAACAAGGGAAAGGAGATGGTTTTATTGCAAGAAAGGGGGATAGAGGTAAATGTGAAAGAATGCATGCAGAGATCTGTAAGGGGGAGGGAGGGGGGGACGTGTTTCAAGAGCGTGGCAGGGGATGATAGTAGGGGAGGAGGAAATGGAGAGGGAGGTATGGACCCATAGAGGCGCTCTCCACTTTGAAGTTGGAATAAGCTGCAGTGGGTGCCAATGTACACACTGACAGAATGGGGAGGAAATACTGCAGAGGATGAGTATGGACATAGAGGGAAGAGACAGACGGAAGGAAACAATGGAGGCAATACTCCAGCTCATGCAGCATTTATCAGACATGGATTCTACTCTAGTTTACCCCAACTGCAGAACGCACACACACACACACACACACACACACACACAGATGAGACCGCCCAGCAAGAGAGGAGATGCACTTGCACAGCTTATTCAACAAGCCCTCGTTTCCACCAATGGGAAATCATACGGGATTTGACAGCATCAACATTGAAAAATTATGTTGCTCCTCGGGAAAGATCCAGGCTATCTATAGTGCAGCGTCTGGGGGGGGTGGAATCTCAGAGTGGGCTGTGAAACCCATTCCACGTGTTTTTGAGCTGCTCCCAGGAACCACTTCTTTGACAGTGGGCTGGTGTGTGTTTGCTTCGACACCATATGTGGGAGGATAAAGAAGAAGAAGAAGAAGAAGCAGAAGATGACACTGGGTAGGGGCGCCAGGGGTTAGAGCATCTATATACCGTGCTGTTGGTTTTAATTAGAACTGTGTGCCACTGATCTCACATGGCTCAAATAGGCCCCTTTGAAGAACTGCTTTCTATACCGCTTGCTGTCTCTTATGTAAGCTACAAGCTGAGCTACTTAGGGGAGAATATACACGCTTTGTTTACCATTTTCACGTAATTTAATATTCACTGAACATCTGTCATGTGCAGTGTTGAAGAACATGAATTTAAAGAATATCTAAAGATTGAGCTCCCCATGCTCCAGTATTTGCCAAAACAACTGAAGTAAAAGTTCCTCCACTAACTTATTTCCTTTGCATCGTCCCTGCATCATTCTTTTCCCCACCTCCTCCCAACTTTTTTTTTTTTTCCTTTTTCTATATTCAACCCCCTCCTCTCCCCATCATCCTTTATTCCAACCCAGGTTCAGGATGCGGTGCGCTGTCGGATGGGGGGATGTAAAGACGACAGCGAAAACTCACCCGACTCCTGCAAGAATGGACAGGTGCAGATCATGGTGAATAGCATTTCCATTTCATCCCACATTGCTATTCATTAGACCAACATTAAATGTCTGGAGCTTCCTAGAAGCTGCAACTCCAATAGCAGGAAGACATGATTGCCATTATTGACGTGCTCAGACTTTCCATAACCATTTTTTGTTTCCCGTCACAGGGGTCATTATTCTTCTCATTCTGCATGTTGAGGTTCTCAAAATTGTTTGATTTCATTGCCAATGGTTACAAATGTTCACTCCCAGACTGAAACTAACTTCCTATAGTGTAAAAGTGTAACTAAAGAGTTAAAAATCCTGCTTAAATCAATGTTAATCTTAATTTAAAATGTGCATTTTGCCATCAGCATTTCATGCATTAAGAAAACCCAATCTTCAGCACTTTTATTTACTCTTAACCTGAGCTTTTCCGTCTTTATTTGAAGAGCGTAGCGCTCCCATAAGGTTATTGCATGTGTTCCAAATGTGACTAATAGTGTGATAAATCATACAGACCTGAACTGCCGTGCCAATGTCAGAGCGGTCACACTGCAAGAGCTACTCTCCCAGCGCTATTCCCTTTATTTCTCCCTCAGACCTGTTTGCGGTAACGATTATGAGTTCCTGAACGCCCCCTCTGAGGTTATCAAGATTAAACTTCAGAGCCATCATTTCACTCAGAGAACCCATAATGACACTTTCTCTCGTCTGTGTTTTCATAACCAAGAGGAACACTTACAGTCTAACTGTGCTTTTAAAAAAAAATTCCCAGAGTTAAATGCATTGCTATATCTTACACACAGCTCACAGGGAATGCTAGTTTCTATGCCAACTGCTTCTGGAAGACAGCTGGTAAAACCTTTAAGTTTCCTTCAGGCTTTGGATTCTTAATGTGTATGACTTTGAGGAGATGTTTTCGGAGAAAAAAGAACTTGCATGGAGAGCCGTGTGAGAAACAAAATACCCTTGAGGATTGTAATTATGATGGATAATTTGGCAAAACTGCATCCAGTTGTACCTCAATCATAATTACATTGCACGCCATCCTCTCAGGTGTTCCCGCCTTATTCACATTAGAAACCCCTGGAAGTTAGAGGCATAACATTACTACACCAAGTCAAAATTTTCTTTAAAAAAAATCTAATTAGCTTTTTTCTTTCTCCAAAACTGGTTAAATGTCTGCTTTTAACCTTTCAACGTTATGTTTTTTTCATTGATTTTTGTTTGTTTCATGCCATCAGAAGGGTCCACTTGTGGGCCAGTGTGGGCAGCAGTGTGGCTCTCTGCGTTACGGCACATCAAGCCTGTCGGGTTGTCACTTGCAGACGTTCCCACCGGCGTGCCAGCAGGCCTGTCACCACAGTCTGCCCCGCAGCAACCACGGCCTGGAGCACAGCCACTCCATGACCTATGCACACAACCATACCCCCACCCTCAACAATTCCCACAACCACGTTCATAACCATAACCACGCTCACAACCACATCGGCTGCAGACCAGTATGTTACCTGTTGAATTAAACCGAATATTAGTCATTATGAATAGCAGAGCACGTAGATGTAGAAAGGTGGAATGTGTAAAGCCATATGTTCATAACAAATATGTACAAATGTTTCTTTAATAGATTAACACTTTAATTTATTAAGCTACTATTCTAATAGTTTGGTGAAAAAATATATACCATTAACATGTCTGTGCCTTTCATTTGGAGCTAAAGCCGGCAGCTGGTTAGCTAAGCTTAGCAAAGACAGGAAATGGGTACACACTTTTAAGCTAGCTAATAAACATGTTGCTCTTTCATTTACTTAATTTAATGTGGTTTTATTCATCATAGTATTATGACTGAAGGTTTACTATGTGCCAGACTACTTCTTGACCAGGCACAGTGACCTCTCTGAAGTCTTGTTGTCAACATCAGGTTGCTAATTTCTCCTGAAGATCACTTAATGGCAAAGAAATAGTAAAACAGTAACACCCCAATTAAACCACAGTAAGCCATTTTAATACGTGTTTTTTTTAATACAATTTATGGGAGCAAGATATAAAAAGGCAAGTTATATGGTAAGAGGCACTGGTTGGCTACAGCCAAGCGAGCTACTTCTGCCTGTTTCCTGTCTGAGTATAGCTAATCCACTGCTAGCTTAAACTTCCATCATTGCCATACAGACAAAGAGTTTTACTCAATCTCAGCAAGAACAAGAGTGGAAACAAACAAAAAAAAATTTCCATCAAGTGTAGTTACATATTTCACCTTTAAATGTAATGTAGTAGTATGTATTAGCTGTGTTGTATAAGAACTAGCACTTCTCGTGTAGTAAGTAATGCAAAATATGTATCTGTAATTTGTCTTTGGGCATTTTCATTGATATGAGACATGATGTTTTCTTTGGTATTCATTTCAACAGTAACCTCACACAGTCTGCTCTTTGCTTCAGGAGCATGACTCAGTCAGTATAGGGCTCATATAGGGCCTTATTCCCTTTTGGTGTTTTTTCTAAACAGTTGACTTTGATGACTCACTGTGTTTAACCTACGAGGCTGTTGCAGAGAGTTTGCTTCATAGTTAAAATAAAGATGATTTGTTTTTCTCAATTTGGATGAGAATGAGGGACTGGGAGTAAGAGAGGGAGAGAAGTTTTCTTTCATATCCGCATTCGTCCATTTAGCTGAGACCCATTTATGGAGCTGCGGGTGATTTGCGTACTAAGAGCTTTTCCATTCCTCTGAGACCCTCGCACAGTCGCTCCGTCTCTCTCTCTCTCTCTCTCTGTGTTTCATTTCCCTCCCTTCCTCTTTGCCTCTGTGGCGTGCCCAAACTGTCTAAAATCTGTAGTTTATTATCCAAACAAAGGCTTTTGTCAGTGAATCCCACCGAGGACAGGAGGAGGCTCTATCGTGAGAGAAGCGAGGACCACATCTGCATAGCAATGAGCTTCACTTTCAAGTTTGAGAAACTTGAGGGGTGGCGATTTTGAAAATAACATGCTTCTTCTTTGTTTCATTTACCCTGTGGAGTAATACCACCCTGCTTTTCTCAAGTGAATTTTCTACATACAAGCAGAAAAACACAATTTTGTGCCCTCAAAATACTTCATCTAGCTACATGAGTGACCTGAGTAGTAACAGCATATTCCTGCATTGTTCAGGATTTCTTTTTCAGTTAAAAGGAAGCTTGGCTGAGGGCAGCAAAGTTTTACTTAAACAGCAGATCATAGCTGTGCTCCTGTGTACATTTCTGGCCCTGTTCCCATCCCGATGATAGCGAAGCGACTGTTAAGTAATCAGTAAATACATGACAAAGTTTAAAAGAAGTAACTTAGACTTAGACTTAGACTTTCTTTATTGTCATTCAAACTTGTACTTTACAGTGCAGATAGGAGTCATGAGGAAACAGCACAGAACATGGTTAGGTAGATGTATGAATGGAACCAGAAGGGAGGGGAACACAGAGACTAAATACACCGGGTAATCAGACACAGGTGAGCCTAACAAGACACAGGTGAGGACAATAATTACAATATAAGACAGGAAACACTAAGACTAGGGAAATACACACACAGGGAACAGAGAAACACAAGGTATACATGAGAAAATAAACAGGAAGTAAAGGAATATAGACTTATACCAGGGACATGACCAGAAAAATACACAGAGTTTAAAGCAATACGAGGGATAAACAATACAAAATGAAACGGCAAATTAAATCTAATCACTCTAATTAACAAATTATAAAGCTAAACAAGACCAAGGTCTCTATAGAGAATGGCAACTGAACAATTCATAACTGAGGAGTGTTAGCTAGTTTAATACTGATGCTGAAACAATGGAAATAAAAGCTTTAACTGAATTAAATCAACTTAAATTTGACTTTAAATAATGTTTCAATCATATTGAGTGACCAAGAACCATTACACACAGAAGGATATGACTACCATGACATTTTTGCACCAATATTTGTTTATTAAAGCTCTTGGGTGGAGTTTTCAAACTAGACCAACAGCAACAATGCTGTATTGATACAGTCAGTGTCAGACAAACAGAAGTGTATTCTTTACATTTGCCACAGTAAAAAATCATCTGTGCTTGATACGGTTATTATCTAAAGACAGGTTCCGTTAGAAAAAAAGACTTGTGGATGTACAGGTCAAGATCAGTGTTCTCCTTAGTCCACAGGGTGTCAAAAAGTGGCAGTGGCTTAAAGGTGTCTTTTTTGTTCTTGTCAAAAGAGGGAATCACTTTGTTACTGAATTGTACAGTAACTGTCACCATTGCAAAACATCACATACTTCTGTACAGGGAGAAATGACAGCATCAGAGTCATTGGATTCAGCATACACATTCAAGATCCAATCCCTTATCAGGCCTGTTCCCTTACTAATGTGTTCAATGTAACTTATACACACTGATTGTCTCTCTTTTCTTTCCGTCATGCCTCCTTCTCTCAGACCGACTTTGAGAAGGATGTGGACTTGGCATGCCAAACAGGTGAGCTCTCCTTTTCTCATGATTTTTTTTCCATTCTCTTTTCTTCCTTTTTTTTTTTTTGTCAAACACCGGATTAGCATTGCAAAGAGTCTGTTACATTCTAAGCTCGCTGCTGTGCATGCTGAAACACTGACAGGAGATGATGGGCTACATCCCCACACAGTTGTTCACAAATTATTATGCTTTATCAATCACACTGATTCTGCCCAATAAGTGTTCAGCGAGCATATGTTGGGATGAGAATGTGTTTAATTGTGCATGATGAGAACACCCCTCAGTGTGTTCAGAAATGTTTCACAATGGTCCTGTGTGTGTGTGTGTGTGAGTGTGTTTGTGGATGTAATACAAATGTACCACAATCTGGTTTATGTTGTGATTTGAAATAATAACACAGTCACTTTCCCCCTCCCCTCCACCCTTGCAGAGAGAGGACACCCATGTAAGTTTTGCACCCAACTGATCTCCTTTACAATGCCTGGTCCACCCCTTTAGACTTTAATATATAGACTATAGACTAATCCGGGTTGTAGCTGGAAGTACAAAGGTTTCCATTTATTGCATCGGCACCATAGTTGTTTACTTTCATGTTATACTGTACTTATTGTAAACAATTTCAATTCTTAGGTGTTTTTCTTGACATCAATGTCAATACAATAGTGGTAGAATATGAGACTCAAATCTTGACTTTTTAACTTGTTAGGAACTTTAGAAGTTTAAAGCCATCTGTGCAAATACAAAAACACAGCTTGATTCACTAAAAACAAAGGGAACAATCAATTTTAGTTTTATAAAGAAATAAATATATAGGCCTATATAGCGATCAAATTGAGCGACCATGGACCGTTTGGTATTTAAAGGTCACATATTATACTCCTTTTCAACAAGTTTAAATACGTCTCAGAGCTCCCCAAAACATGTCAGTGAAGTTTCCACTCTGATCCGGTATTTGATAACGCCTAAAGCCCTCTATTTCAGCCCTGCTCAGAACAGGCTGTTTTTGTGTCTGTAGCTTTAAATGCAAATGAGCTGTGTCTGACCACGCCCCTCTCTGGAAGGGCTTGGGTGGCTTGGGCTTTCTCACTCCATGCCCTATTGTTTACGGTGAGAAGGCAGACTCAGAAGGCAGAACAAACACCTAGCTGTGGGAGTGTCACCCCCTGGGGGAGGGGTTACTGCCCTTTTTGATGTCACAAAGGGAAAAATCTCCAAATGGCATGTTTGAGCACACATTTTCTGAAAAGTAGAGGCAAAACACGGAGAGGATGGATTTTTCTCATAATTGTGGGGTGTGTAGACGGACTAGGGTGCTGTATTTAATTTCACTTTTATATATTTGCGCATCCTGGCATGAACATGTATACGAAGTAGTCTCTTAAAAAAAAAAATCTGTCATCCTATAATTTTGTATTACACAAAGTGCCTAAGAAAGTGACACATGAAACAACCCCCGGATTTGTCTATAGGTCACGTGCTGTTCATCCAATGTTGGGTGCATAAGTGAATTGATCTGATTGGTCAGAAGTCCTGTCCAGTTCTTTCACATCACTCTGCATCCAACTGACATAACAACAGAGAAAATATCAGGTTCTGTACTCTGCCAGTGTTCTCGCTGGTTAGTCAGAATCTGCAGGATCCAGCTTCAACTTCTGATGAAACGTGTAGCCTGACATTTTGTCACAGCAATGCGGTGAACATGAAAAGGTCTGCTCTATACACTTTGGTTGAGAACTGGATTTTGGGGCCACATAGTAAATATTGAATCCTCTGATGGTGACAGAATGGGCATGATATTCAGCATGAATCTCCAGACAGTTTGATTTGTGTTTGATTGTGATGATAGATTGATGTTAGGTTGTGATGAAACATCCCATCATCAGCATGTCATAAGTTAATTTTAGAGACACTGTTTGAAAATTGTGTAGGATCTGTTTTTGGTTTTCTACTCAAAAAACAAGCATGAAAGTGAACCTAAAGACATTGTAAGAAGTATTACGTTATAGAAGAAGAATCTCAAACATCGACCAAACATTAAGCCACAGGAAAAAGGAACAATGATGTGTTGAGGACTATTTGGGGTAGGACTCAGTAGTGAGGGAATTTGGCTCAATCCAATTTTAACACCACAGCACTTTGTACTGTGTCCCTCTCCAAGCTAATAAAAAACCTGGCTCACCAGCAAATCTTGAGATGGAGCAAGACTTAAGGTCACAGTGACAGGGAAACAACTACTCGTCTTATTTACTGTGTGCCAAGAAAGCCCAAAATAAGAAGTGAAACTTTCCCTTTGAGCTACATGAACAAACTTCCATCAGCACGTTAGTCATTTCGTATGTTTCTGTCTCTGCTACCTCACTGCAACAAACATTATCAATTTCCATCTAACCCCGTCTAATGTTCCTTTTTTCCTCTTCACTACCTCCCTGTCTACGACTCCTCTCCACGGTTTTCACTTCTCTCCTCGCGTCACGCTCCAGTCATATTCAAGGAGGTGAACACCTGTAACCCTGCAACCATCACAGGGACCCTCTCTCGCATCTCACTGGATGACGAGGACGATCCCAAGCTGGCGGCCCATCAGGATGGGGGAGTCGGGGTCAACTTTAGCTCCCTCCCTGGGAACATCCCCCCTCCCAACCTCATCGTACAGGTCTGATATACCAAAAACATAAATTTATTGTCTGAGTAAACCTACTGTGCAATAAACCCTGATTCTTATTCTGAATCTAAAACACTACATTTTACTTAATTTATTATTATACTCCAGAACACCATGCCTCAAGATCATTGAGTAGTAGCAATAATTACACAAAAACACAAAAAGTGGCTTTAAAGTTTAACTACAATCAATTTAAATTGGAAGGGGAAAGACAGAATTTTGATTATCTCTGATGAATCAGGATTGCGGAGTCAAATGAAAAATTAGATCAGGCTAGAGGAAGTTAACTCAGAATACTGAAATATTGCTTTTTCCACAAGGTTCCAACCCTAGGGGGTCTGAACGAGCTGAGCGAGACGCCGCTAAAGAAGGAGGTAAACGTGGACCAGCAGCGACAGCAGGGGCAACAACGCAGCGGGGCTCCAATCTACCTGTGCACTGAGAGCGGCCTGGGCTGGGCTCGACCCCCCACCTCCTCCAACACCTCTCAGGACGGGAGCGCCGGGAGTGGAGGAAGTGGAGGGGGAGGAGGAAGTGGCGGAGGCGGTGAGGGAGACTACATGGTCTTACCTCGTAGGACGGTCAGTCTCAAACCTCCAGCGTCCTCCTCCCAGGGAGGGGGCCTGGGGATGGGGGGTGAGGACAAGCCTCTCAACATCGCAGTGGATGATCCCCCCTTCCCACCGCCTCCCTCTCCTCTCACCCTGCACCCAGCCGAGAGCGAGGCCTACCCGGCGGATTTTGTGCCATCAAGTGTGGGCGACATGAACATTGCCATGAACCTGAACCGCTCCTACGGGACGATCAAAACCATGCCCCATGGGCACGGCCACATGATGGCTCAAGGGGGTATTGTACACTCCCACGGAGGACACATGCACTCCCACGGGCACTCGCTCCAGCTGAAGCCGGGTCAGAGGCCATCGGTCAGACAGATTCTGACCGGGGGAACCACAGTGGAGAGAACCAGGACTCTACCACGCAACCTGGGCAGCACCAATGCAAACACCAGCCTCTCTGCAGGATCCCTGGAGGTGGGTAGGAGGTTGTCAGATGAGGGAAAAGAGGGTTTCCCTCTTGGGGTTAAGCCTATTTATCATATCCACCTTTTACTGCAGCATTTCCATATGGTTTAAAGTTATTGACATGTTGGTGGTGTTGTGACGTAGGCGGTGTTGGTGTTGATATAACAGTGAAGTTACAAAGATGAGAGAACAAAGACAAAGTGAAGGAAAGTTCTTTGTGGAAAAGGTTCCAATTATTGAATGTGACATCCTGAAGGGGTTTGAAAATCTCAGGTTCTCACCATTGGAATTATTGCCATATATTTTTACTTTAGAAAGATAAGATGCAAGTTTCACTACTACACTCACAAATACTTTAAAATATGTTTTACATATTTACTATCACAGTGGTTCCAAGACATAACAATAAAACATCAGTAAAGTGGCTAAGAACAAGTCTGCATTAAAACACTGCTATTGGTGACAGCTGTGTAATATATACCGCTGCTGACTGAGACAATGAGCATTAGAAATAGTTATTTTCCTAATGATGGACAGCTTCTTCCTAGATCAGCGTCTGTGTGTGTGTGTGTGTGTGTGTGTGTGTGTGTGTGTGTGTGTGTGTGTGTGTGTGTGTGTGTGTGTGTGTGTGTGTGTGACAGTGCATTTTATGTACAAGGTGGCCCAGCAGATGGACTGAGACATATACCAGATCAGAGGAAATACGAATGTCTTTCAGCCCCCCTTATTTTTTTACACACAAACACACACATCATACAACATAGCCCACGGTTACAAACACACTAAAACACATGTACGCGCACGTTGTAACCTAACCCTGTGGCCTGTTGCTGAGGTTGAGGTTGATTGAAGAGATAAAAATGACTGAAAAAGTGCAGATGCTTCATTTGAGGGCTGAGGACGAGTCATTAAAAGTCAGAAAAAATCACTGTCAGAAGAGCTACGAGTGCACTCTTGAATACCCCCCCCCCCCCAAAAAAAAAAAGAAAACTGCACGGGAACCTACGGGATGTAATTTACTGCTGTAATTTCACCCTGTTTGAATGTGCTTGATTTGGAGATGGATATCAGAGCGTGCCTCTCAAGATTAAATCACAGCAGTGTGTAACTCCCTAATTCAAAAATGGTGATGCCTAATAGAGGGATCATGCAAACGTACTCACAGTCATCATTTCACTGTAGATTTTTAGTTAGGCTTATAAATTGAAATCTTAATGGTGTAGTCGAGGCGTGAGAAAGTATCATGGAGCATTTTATCCTTTAGTCATACAATAGGAAACTATTTCAGTGAGTATTGAAATGTAGATTATTAGTATCTCTTTGTGGGAAAACTGTTTGTGAAAGAGCTGAGGTTAACACATTGAATGTGTGAATTGATGTGACTGTGGTTGGCTATAGGACCATAATGCTATCAAAGCAGAAAATGGCAGTAGCAAATGTTTCCTTACACATTCTGTATGACTGAGTTGATGACTGCATTGTGTGTCCCCACCAAAACATGCAATATATTACACCTTGTAAGTATGTTGCATGTCTACCATGTTAAAAAGCAAGGTCAAACACGGAATTGCTCTCTTTCAAAGGTAAGGATTTCTGCATAGGAGGGTAGTAACTGCAGAATGTTTGGGAGTAGCGACTTTCACCAAGTGAGCAGGACATCTCCTGGGAGAAGCTGCCACTTTTATCTGTTTGCATTCCTTTACCTTTTTTTTTTTTTTTTGGCCGCCACAGCATCAGATCAGCAACTCTGCCCTTTCAAGAAACGAATATAGCTTTTAACTAACTGTGGAGAGCAGCCGCTCCGCCTGCCAAATGCAAATCTGGCAGACAGCGAGAGCAAGATAGGGAAGTCAGAGATGGAACGTAATGCAATGTCAGGGCCAGATGAGTTGGAAATGTCTGCAGCTTTTTAAATTGGCGGCCTGCTTGCCACTTTCTGTAGCTGTGGAGGCACTTAAGAGGAAAGTGGAGGGTTCCAAACAAGATTAGGGGGGGGGATGAAAACCAATCTCTCGTGGGGGGGCTTTTGCAGCTTTTTTTAATCATAATGTCTCCAACGAAATCTCCAAAAATAGCAAAGAAGATGATATATATGCTAGGGCTGTAATGATTGTATTTGAGGGTGTGTGTGAGCTGAGAAATTATTATTCCATTCTAATTCTGTGTTATTCCACTTCACTAATCTCATTACGTTGAAATAGACTGAATCATTTGCCTTTTTGCCTTGACATTTGTAAGGATATCTGTACGATGTTGGGGAGGCAGTGCACATTAGTCATCTTCTAGTTACTGAACAATGGCACTGGGGGATCCACACATTTATAAGAAGGTCTAAAGTTCAATAGTGGTCGAGAGGTGGTCATTGATGCTTTCTTCTCTCCCCTGCCCCTCCCCATCCTCTTCCAGAGGAAAAGAGTACGGTACTCTGAGCTGGACTTTGAGGTAAGATCTCGGACCTTTCCCCGCTGTCATCAGCCTGTCTCTGCTTTTCTTGTGCTTCTGCCAGGACTTGAGTAACGCATAGAGGAGCAAAAAGCATCGCTAAATCCCTCCCAAGCACCTGTTCTTCCCTTGCATAATAGAACTACAAACTGTTTTAGACCCTCCTTGTATGCTGTTTCTCCAACAATGGCCTTGTTTTCTGTCTCAATAAAATTATTTTTTTAACTAAATTGCAGCATCCTCGAAACATCCCACTGACATGTACAATCACACCAAACAGTGTTGTCATGTCTTTATGGGGGTCCTGGTTGAAGAAACAGCAGATAGTAGATTGCTTTCTGTGTCTAAATGAATTCAAGTAATACAGTTATGGATCAACAAGTCTGTGTTTAAAGTCAATTGGCTGGTTATATATTTGTTGGAACGACATTGGTTTGGCAGTGTGTCCCTTTGTTTGTTAGAATGACCTGGGTGTCCTGTGAATTTCCAGTCTCTATATTATCACAATAAAAGACAGTCCCTCGCTTTGCATTGCTGCCTTTTGGAGGGAATTACGTTTGACACAAAGTGTTTTAAAGACTGGACATTCACCCTCCAAAATGGAGATGTATTGGTCATATAGAAGGTATGTGTGATTACCAGCTACTAACAGTGACTATGGCTTATTGTTTTACTTTTCTGGCAAATTTAATGGAGAGGCATTTCAACGGCTGCATGAATTTAGCTCAGGGAGTTTGGCTCTCTTAGAAATCAGCTGTTTACTCATTAAATGACTATTGACTTTTGAGAAAGCAGTTGGCCTAGAAGAACCATTAAAACTGGGAAGAGTACGCTTCCATCATTTAATGGAAAGTAAACCAATTTTCATCGAAGCATTCTTCTTTTATCGAGTTTACCAACCCTTTTAGACAGTCAGAATGAACTTTTAATATATCATCAAACTTGTACTATTTCAAGCAACTTTAAACTGAATTAAGGATCTGGCCTTATAGGGTAAAGTAACAATTGACTAAAAAATAAAAATAGTACTTCATTGAATTAGAATTGCACTTAAAGTTTGGCAACTTGCAAGGGAACGCTTCCAAAGAACAGTAAAACAAAGAGGCTCACTTTTGATCCTTCATTCCTCATAAATGCCTACTTCTTAGGAACACCACAGCTTTTTTGTGACAAGGATTTTAAGTTGCTGATCCAAGCTGGGATAATAAAACCTTAGAAATCTCCTGCAGAACGAGAAGATACCGTTTAAGCGTTCTACCAACCTCTATTGATTATTGTGATAAATGAGCTGAACTTTGAGAGTTGATTCTTAAGAGCTCACCTGAATGAGTGTTTTATTGTAAAAGTTATCATGATCACTTACAGGACATCACAGCCCATGGACTTGTCATTGGGCTTTCACAAAAAGCTAAAAGACTTGGACTCAGACAATGGTGTGCCAAAAAGGAAGAAGAATTCTTAAAACTTAGCAGAAAAAGGACATGTAGGAAAGAACTCGTAGCACCCTCTCAGCTGAGCAGAGATGAGAGTACCCACTTCTGAAATAATTGGAGCCAGTGCTAAGAGCCAGTCCTAGCCAGTAAGTGTGCTGGTGTGAGTGCTGGCATCATGCCCCTGTGTCACTTTCAACCTCGCAAGCTGCTTTGACGATTAGTTACTGCCGAGCAGCTCCCGCACTGCCCATTAGCACAGAGAAACAACAGCAGTGGCACTGACGAATGCAGTTTGCTGTCAGAAAATTAAAGATCTGGATTCTGCTCTCCTCCCATACAGGCATATTCAGAATAGGGGGAGGCAGTTTTTGTCGATATCCCTTTGCTAGTTATGTTTCTGTCCATCTGTCAGATGTTTAGGAGTCAGACAGAATCCTGAGCTAACAGGACCACCAGCTAACAGACATTAGTCCGTAACAATGGCATTTTTGTCAGTTGTTTTTGCCGCGTTATCACCTAAAGAACTCCTCTGCAGCACTCCCAGTTGCCAAATTCTTAAAGACTAAGGAAGTGGATGATGTATGAGCATGAGCCAGCAATCGATCGATCTGTCGCGTACCTCTCTAACCCCCTTTTCATGGCTGGCATCACTGCAGTCCTTCAGCCTTTTACCCATTACCCTTTCCAGCTGCCTGCCCTTATGTTGGCCCCTCCTTTCATTTGCTTTTTTTATTTTTTTATTTCTGTTTGGTTCATTTTTTGCTGTGCCTTCCTTTCTTTCCCTTCCAGAAAGTGATGCATACTCGCAAAAGACATTCTGAGCTGTACCATGAGCTCAACCACTCCTCCAAGTTCCACACCATAGACAGGTATAACAGGGACCCAGCCATGTCCACATTCAAGGTAAGACCATTGCCCAAACGCGGGATGGGAACTCCCTGTACCCATGCATCCCCAACCCCCTCTCCACACTTTGTCACAATCCCAAAAACACCAACCCCTTTATCACTGAAAGAACTGAACCAGAAAAGCAAACACTGACGCCTGGGCAGATCAAATTGCAATAGATTTTATTTACAGACAGTAGCAAGACTGGCTTAATTGAACAGCACTACCTTAAAAAGGCATTAACTTGTAAACGCAGCTTTCAGATGACTATAGCTCTAAGAACTCAGGGTAAAGCTCCCAGTCGTATCAAACACAAGCTACTTTTGCACCTTTCCCAGCTAACTTGTGACTTCAAAATAGCAAGTCATTGTTTGTTCTTACAAGAGAGCTTAAATGTAACGTGAAAATACTATGTACCTAATTGCTATTTGATTTATTGACTGCTGTACTTACTGTTTCCATGGAGAACCTACCGTTAAGTGCCCCATTACTATAACCAGTGCAGCACATTTAATAGAAATACCTCTAAATATCTTTATTTTAACTGCTGTAATTGGCCTGAATTTAATTAATTCTCACTTGTAATTGGTGCCTCATTAAATTCTCGTCAAACTAGTTGATCACATGAGCTGTTCACTGAAGGATAATCAATCATAACTGGTTAATGATACGAAATTCTGCAATTTAACACGTGTGAAACTTCAACTCTTACAGCATCAAGCACACAAAGCACATGTGCCTACACACTGAAGTGCTTTGTCTATGCCTGTGTCAACTGGTTCATGTGTCTTTTTATAATTGGATTTTCTGTCTATGTACTGCCTGTGACACTGTTTTTTTTCATGTGTGTATGTCTGCATGGATGGTGAGTGGGCACCTGTTAGCATGAGACTTCTTTAAATAATTAATACGCCATTTGTAGCAGACGAAAAAGTCCCTGCTTGCTTTGTACTGACCTTCAGAGGGCCAGTTTCATTAAGGTTTAAACACACGTGCACTTGCCCACACTCCTCTCATCTGCCGAGGCCCGAGTGCGTAGAACCATGATGAGTTAGTCAACCTTGATAGGTGTACTTTCCTCAGGCGTCGGCAGCATGCTGGTTCACATCTAATTTACCCCACCAGAAGAGGAGCAGCAGCCAGGCTGACATCTCTCATATTCCCCATGCCATGTAGCCACACACACATGCAATACACACACGCAAACACCCTGCCATTTCCCAACGCCAGGCTGCCGGCCTTTTCCTTCACTCCTCATTTGCACAACGTCTTGATCAAGATTTTCAGAAGTGCCGGGCAACTCTCGCATCCATTGATGCCAAACAAATATTTTATGGAAGAGGAGGAAAATGGCAGGCTGCTTGCAAAGCCATAAGCCATCTATTAGAAGTCGGAGTTCTGAACAGTTGCACTGCAGCATACTAATATGCCTCAAAGTGAGCTCAGGTGTGCTTTGAGATTATGCCCAAATGTTAAAGGAATAAAAGCCCAGTCACAAATAATAGATAGGCCGTATTAGGACTAATTAAGACAAATTGGAAGGCATATTTCCTCTGGGTTTGCAGTGTCATGTAAGTTATGGAACAAGAGGCCAGCATAGATATGGCTTACTCATCCAATTCCATTATGTTAAAAGTAAGTAGGCAGTTCACTTAACTGTGAATAATTACACGGATAATGCTATCAGTGTCGGGCCTTTGACAGGACCCAGCTTGAGTTCAGCTCTGCTGTTGTCAACATCTCACTTTGAGAGTCACCCCCGGACACGAACATGCTGACTATACAGTAATTATGGAGATGAGAAGGGTGTGTGTGGGTGTGCGTGTCCATATACTTTTATACTAGAGTGCCTACTGTATGTGTGTGTGGATCCATGTCTATGTAAGTGTCCGTTGTTGTATGGATGAGTGTTTGTGTGTATCTGTTTTTTCTGTTTTCTGTTTGAGATCAGAATGTTGCACTGCCTGTGTTTGAAGCACATAAACTGTGTAAGGAGACAATTACGGCATGAGTACTGATATAATCGTTTCATAATAACTCTAATAACCTCCTCTCTATGCCATTTGACAGACACCGAAAGTGATTTTCACACAAGCTACATGATATCTGTGATTTAATTGCAAACATAATTGCTTTTCACGAAGATATCTTGTCACGGATGGACACACAAAGTACTCTAAAAGTTGATATGCAGCCTTAACTTTAAATGGCTAATTTACTTAATGACTTAAGCGCAGGCAAATATTGAACGTCTCACCTTTTAATGACGAGGGAAGCTAGTCAGTTCAGTGACTTCTAGTAGAAGGAAAAGCCTCACTCTCCCTTACCTGTTAAAGCAGTCATCTACAACCAATGATACCTAAAAAGCTCATTAACCCCCCTGACTTTTGCAGGCATCCTTGTCCGATTGAGTGTCTGAACAGTGATAACTCCGGTACTAAACAACATTTAACCCTTTTTAACCTCCATGGTCGGTGTTGGTCCACCACAGGTCCCCCCTCCCCCACCACCGAGGCACAACACCGAGCCATCACTCGTGCGCAGAACTTCCCTCGTTTACAAAGAGAGTCAACGTAAGACATACATAAACGTGAACGAAGCTCTTGCTGTAGAGCCCCTCAGACTCACTCCAAGGCCCATGAGTTGGTTCACTACATATCACTGTGTGTACTTCATAGTTTGCTGTATCTGTGTCTCTGTGCTGCAAAACAAAAAAACAATTCTCATGTAAATAGCTGTTTGCTAAACCTTCAAACCAACCAGCAATGGTGGAAATATATTTAATCAACTATTACTCGGCCCAATCTGCCTGTAAAGCATTGGATTTCACACTGTTAGCAGTTCATATGTGGCTGTTCTAATATGTGAAAGCTGGTGTAATTTTCCTTGCCTTTTTAAATGGTCAACTTTATGTGGATTGGATTAATACACTTTTTTTTAATTGGAAAAAAACACAAGCTGCAGTCATTATATGTCTAACTTACAAGGTAATTACACACATCAAGACGAAAGCAGTGGGTGTTTATTTAAAAAAAAAACCTTTCACTTCTTTCTGTATGGCACATCCACTCTGGAGTATTTCTTTAAGATAACTATATGCAGTACTTTACTGCTTCTAATTTCTATGATTGGACACTTTAGCAGGGCTATAAAAGAAGAATCTAATTGTTCTTGTCTAACATTTCACCTGAATCATTAATCATTTAGAGTGTGAGGGCTTTCACTGTTTGAGTGGTACCAGTAGCTATAAGAGTAGGTATTTGTGAGTAAGGAGAGACAATTCCTCCTTTTTTTACACAACTGTTAAAAAATCTCAATAAGTTAGCTAAAGCCTTCTGTCTACAACCAGGAATGAAGCTAACGTTTATGCTGGCTTAATTTGTTAGCTTGCTACAACTGAAAATAAAGTTGTTAGCTAGAAGAATAAAGCAGAGGGTTCCCATAAAAACAGAATCTGTCTTTATTCTACCTCCGTCTAAAATTAAAGATAATTCTTTTGAAATTTTTGGAAATTTAAGATTCTGTTCTCATAAATGAATGTTTTGGGAGGCCTAGCTAAAATGACCAAGAGGATGGTTTTTAGCGAAGCGTCAATTCAGAGAACGGTACGTCATTCCGTGCCTGAGTGCAAGTGACTAAAAATCAAACTATTTCAAGATTATATTTATTTGTCATCACAGTCACACAGCTACAGTAAAACTGTAAGTGTAATCCATGTAGCTGCTCATCCACTTCCAGTAAGCGCTGTCTCACAGTGTAGACTTTGTTTAAAGAACCTAAATAGTAACTGCTCCCCTAGTGGTGTGGTGGTGTAATAGTTAATTGTTTCACAACTTGCTTCCCATGTGTTTTAGCATTCATACAATGTATGCTAAATCCTCTTTCTGCATAGAATTCAGAAGGCTTTTTTTGTTGTTGTTTTGCTGTTTTAGGTGTTTTCATCACCGTCGCCCTACTGTGTTGTGGAGATCCATATTGTCCGTGTGCCCATTTCAGTGCCTGAATTAAACCTTATGATCTAAACAACCCATAACCAAGTGATAAATCAGTTCATAAAGACAATGACCCATTCAAAACGATTTATAATCACCTCATAAACCATGTTATTCTGCTCATAAACTAGCTCATTGGCACTAAAAAGGGCCAAACACGATGCACTTTTTTATGGGTACTGATGACAGACTTTAGGAAATGTCACAAAGGCTTTATGGGGTCAGAAGATACTTGATCCATTTTACTTCTCTGAAAAAGGTAGGATTTATGTGTTGGCTGTGTTGAGCAGATGAGTGGATATCAGAACATTCCCCCCCCCACACACACACACACACACACACACACACAGACATTTGTGTTTGTACTTTCACATCTTATCCAATTTTAAGGGTAAGAGCAGTAGGCTTAAAGTGCTTCTGGGTATTACATGTGCCATCAGAGATACGATCCAAGTAATTCAAACTCTTAATTCCTGCTTTTCTTGTCTTCCCTTGTCTCTCCATAACATCTACTCAAGTTTTTGTTAACTCCAAGTTGAGCGGTAACCGGTACTTTTCTTATTTACAACTCTTATGACTAGAGGCTATATTAAGTAATGACTCAGTGTTAGTCTTATTATATGGAGAAAGATGTGACCGGAAAGAAGGAGGGGCAGCAGACAGTACATCACAAATCCCCATTAACCTCGATGTTAAAAATCACCTTGTCTGTCTTTTGTATTAGGCTGCTGATGCTAGCAGAGCTATTCCTGTCGAAGTCTGAAAATAAATGTGCCCGTTGCCCTCTGTTTCTTACATTTGGGATATTTTTTGAAATCCATACGCATGACCTTTCAAAAACTCCTCAGCCAAATGGCTTAAAAGTAAACAGTGGCTAACAAAGGTCACTAGCAGGCTGTGACACAAACATTATATTCTTCTGCTTGTGTCGGACATTATTCTGTGAGCTTCTTTAAAAAGCAGTCAGATGCATACAACCTTTCACATAAACAAAAATGGCTTCAAGAGTTCCAGAGCTTTTGT